AGCCTTGAAAAACATTCTCTTTACCTTAGCCGTAACTATTTAGCCTATGTAGTGTTTGCTAGCCGATCGCCCCAGTTCATTCCTTGTTAACACTGTGATTAGAATGTCCGTACTTCCACCGGCCGAAATGATTTATTTTCTGGTATCGCTTCTGTCTGAGTCCTATCTAACACGAGTCCAAATCCTATGCTTAAGGAAAGGCCACACTTTATTTCCCGTAACCGATCCCGCTAATTCGTTCTGAATATGTTTAATTAGCTGTTCGTATTGAACTAGCTAGGACAAGTTTAATTTCCAATACTCGGCTATTTTAACCATAATTTCTTACGACATTCAGACCGCCACCATTTTATGATCCAAACAGCTCAACCAAAAACTGGTAAGGCCTAATATCAAGTATCCACTCAGCATGGAAAGCAGGATGAGAGCACTACTCACGTGGATTTAATAAAAGCATGGGTTCGACATTCCAAGGTTACTGACTACAAAGACAAACACCTGAAGAAGGCCGAAAGGTACAACGACTGAAACATCCTATCCGAATAACAAAACATATAATATTGGGGGGGGGATCTTCATTATATCAGTGTCTCTGTGTGGGAAACTTGTTTTAATGCACCCTGTATTTCACACACTTGCAGTTAGCTGTCCCTATTCCTTATAACGGTAATGACCCGAAAATTCCTCGGGTCTGTAATGGCTTTTGTGAGCGGTCTGGAATATGTACAGGACTTTGACAGATACTTTCAGATGCGTGGGCAATCCCTTGTCTAGAACGTGCTTACCCACCCAACAAATCTACAATGACCCATTCCTTTTTGGCCCGCCCCTCTCTTTCTTTTTGAAGGGGATGGGATAGTCCTTCTCAAGATATCGATGTATTCCTCGTTGGAGGGTAATGGGACTGAATTTGACTAAGCGTCTGAAGGGGTGTAATCACCTCTTACGGTACCTTTGTCTTCTTTTATTGCCGCCTGTCCTCTTCGTCACCTGAAGGCCGCCTCCTTCTGAATGAAGTTGCATTCTCTTTTATAGCCATCTGTTCGACTGTTGTTGTTGACGTTGCCATTGTTCAAGGGGTGCAACTCGGTTAGCTGCGCTTCAGTCAGCATTTTGGATTGCACCTCCCACTGTGACGGGGGAAGAAGGCACTGAGGTCTTTGTCCTAGGCCGCTGTTTGGCGCGAATATAAGATTATTATTATTATTATTATTATAGGGACAGCTAACTGCAATTGTCTTTGTCCTAGGCCACTGTTTGGGCGGGAATCTTATTATATTATTATTTTTTTTCTCCTCCTCCTCATTCTCCTCCTCCCTTTTCCCTTCCTCCTCATTCTCCTCCTCCTCCTCCTTCTTCTTATTCATAAACCGGGGTTCCACTGAGCAGCATCTATGAAAGAACTGGGGTCTAGTACAGTCGAGTCGCGTCCTCTGTTCAGTTGTAGTTGACACTTTGCGTCCATGTTGACTGAATTCTTGAAACCTGCTCCTATTGGATGATTCCCAAATTTATTTCCAAGTTATAAAAATTGTTATCATCCAAAAAAAAAAAAAAAATCACGTAAAAAATTGCCGAAAACAATCGCCGTAATGAAAATTTTGAAATCCCAAATTTTAGGATTGTGGGTCTGGATCTGGCCTGTAATAGTCTTAATTTCCTCTCGGAGTCGGCCTGATTCCAAAATGGTATGATATGTTGGGCTACGGCCTCTAGGAGTAAAGTTGAAAAAGTGTGACACACTGACATTCGCTTTTATTATGTCGATTATTTGGAATGCACCTTTTGAGTCGGACAATCTTGGAAAGAGAAGGAATTACATTTTGACTTATGGGCAAAATAGATTGGGTACCACTGTTCTAGAGTTTGTTTTTTTTTTTTTTACAGTAAGGTTCCTTTATACAAATCCCGGGGGGCAACTCGAGGTAGAGTCATAAAGAGGTCAGTTCGAAATTCCAATCACCTGAAGAAGGTCGGAGCGTACAACGGTCGAAACGTTGTGAATACGGTAATAAAGATAAGCTCAACAGTCCGAACAATGTAAATAATTACAATACTTCATCTCAGAAATTATAGGCAGATCCTGAAGAAGGCCGGAGCGTACAACAACCGAAACGTTGTGAATATGGCAATAAAAATGAGGACGACAGTAAAACGTAAATAATTGCAATACCTCATCTCAGAAATATCGACAAATATAACTCCGCTTTTGATCACTTTGCCCAGACATTTCTGATGAAGCGAAATGGAAATAGAGAAACATTTTAGATCTCTGAAGATTGTCCTATTCTTTGCTAAGGATGCTAGTTAATCCTTGTTGTGGACACCAGCGGTTTATACTGCAACTATAATGAGCGGACCTTAGTTACAGTTTCTAGGAGTGCGATCTCGTAATCTGTCGTGATCAACAAGGCCAGTCGGCTCATACCACGATCACGATGCCTCGTGACTTCGTGCTAGCACAACTATCGGCAATTTCACCCACGCAGCCTCTCCAGGCACATTCAAAACGGTGTCGCACGTTAGTAGCGACTTCCCAGATCGATATTATAAAGAAGTCAGCTCGTTGCCAAATCTAGCATGGTAAGGGTCTCATAGTGTATATGCTCCCACTATATATATATATATATATATATATATATATATATATATATATATTCGTTACGAGTTAATGGACTTATTTATCTCCTCAAATTTAGATTTCCTTCATTCACTGCTTCTCGAGTTTATAATTGCGTATTTGGGCAGCAAGCCCTCTTTTGTAGAAGTTTCATTAAAAACAACTGAAAAGGTACTGCAGTTAACTTTTTTAGTAAATTTTTCTTGCGTTCTTAAATTTTCTTCATTTCTGGTTAAATTATGCAAAAAACTGTACTTTCAGTTAATTTTTTTTTAGTAATTTTTTTTCTTGTGCATATATATATATATATATATATATATATATATATATATATATATATATATATATATATATATATATATATATATATATGAAAACTTCACACATTATAATGACGTGAAAGATGATTAACCAGTTAAATTAAGAAAATACCAGAATTTCTAACAAAATCTTTTTTCTCCAATAGATTTTGAAACTTTATTTAATATTTTCAAATGTTTCCTATTTTTTTAGTGAAAACAAATTAATTGATTTAAAAAGTAAAATGTTCCAAAAAAAAAAAAATTTTTTATTTATAAAATGAAATTAATATATAACAACAGCGAAAGAAATTTAATAGATAGATAGATAGATAATGGAAGATAAAATAGGAAAGTTTTCTAAAAAACGAAAAGCAACCATTATATATATATTTATTTTATATATATATATATATATATATATATATATATATATATATATATATATTCGTTACGAAGTTAATTAACCAAACAGCGAAAGAAATTTAATCAGAATATCTCGAAAAGCAATTTTATATTTTTATATATATATATATATATATATATATATATATTTTAGTTAATGGATTTCTATCTTCATTCACTGCTTTTTTTATATGACATTTCTTTCTTTTTATTTGTTTTAAACCATTAGACTTCGTTTTCAACTTGGAAAATGTCAGATCTCATTTGATAAGATATCCGTTCTTAGATTGTTGATAATTTAACGATTTTCTTTCTTCCATCTTTTTTTTTTTTTTTTTTGCGACAGGGTGTGGGGAGTCGGCGAGAAATTTCGCCTCAAATTTCGCTTCTTGAATTTCATTTCAATTGCAATGCCGTTAAATTAAATTGAATCAAAAAGGCCCGACCATAAAACTCATTGTTTGCCTTCACAAACCTACATCATCTTGAAAAATAAAAATGTTTGTCATTTCAGTTTTACTTCTTTTTTTTTTATTGCAGCATAATATATTTTAGGAAAATCTATGAGAAAGTGGAAAAAAACCTTCGCCCTTTAGGAATTCAGACTAAAGTGATGCTAACGTTGATGCGACTGCACATGCGCATGAAGGAGAAAAAACGTATAGGCATTTATAGGTATTATTCGCTGTTTTTCACTCTTCGCCAGTGCTCTAGGAATGTAATCCCCGCGAATACCGGGGACAACTGCATATTGTATTCAAAAATCGCGAGAAAGACACCGTGAAGCCATTCCACTATTTTTCCTTAAAAGACCCTGATCTTTCATCAATCATGATGAACGAGTGTTCCCCGAGGGAGGCTCAATGCCTTGAACACCTACAGGGACATAAAATCAACTCAAAGTTCAAGTTGAACTCGTACATATGATCCATCATTAAAGATGCTGGAAAAATGGTCTGTCTCCTGTACCGCTCCAGTTAGGTTCTAAGGAAAATTCCGTGAATAACCAGGGTCGCGAATGTCGAACCGCGAGGGTCGCCTGTAGTCCTCTTTCGTAAACTGTTTGCTTTTCAAATCTAAAAAAGCCCAGTTTCATCGATGCGGTGGTCGCAGAAGAGATGGGCAATAATTCTAAAAAAAAAAAAAATGTCATCAGACGAAGCCGGAATTTGAACGCTGCACACAGATTCCGTTTTTCTCAACAGTAACCGTTACACCACACGCATAACAAACCATCAAAATTTACTAGCTTTCAAACTTTCTTACAAAAGCGTACCGTGAATTTTGAGTTGAGTCGTCTTTCTTCATATTACTGTTTCTTTTCATCACACTTTTCAATGAAAACACTGATTTATTCGGATAAGTAGCATCATCATGTCATTATATAATCACAATGTTTCAGCCGTTGTAGCCGCTGGGCATTTTCCCGTGTTTATCACTGAACGTGCTTTGAAATTCATTCAATTTCTTTCTTTGCGAATAATGACTGAAGCTAGTCGAAAGCTCAGTCTCTTAACAAGAACATTGGACACCTGCAATAAAAAGACATGGAAACTAATCCGTCGACATGAAAAATTGATAAAAATATAATAAACTTATCTTGTCTGTTGCCTTCCATTTGTTTGAAGAAACATTTGCTGTGTAGATACAGCTAATTTATCTGTTAAGCTGACTAGCTTTCTCAGTCTGCTCATCTATCTATCTATCTATCTATCTATCTATCTGTCTGTCTATATCTATTTATACTCAGAATCCACAATACGTTACGGTGATGCCACATCATAGAGCGTCAAAACTCGAAAAAAACATCACACTCACGTGACAAAACAAACACTCAACTATCAAAATCATGCCAAAGATGCATTGTTCATTCAATGTCTTTCTTTCCTGATAATGACTGATGCTAGTCGAAAGCTCAGACCCTTAACAAGTGCAGCAGGTACCTACAATACCAAAGCGCGGAAATTAATCCGTGAACAGGAAACATTGATAAAAATATAATCAGCATAATTTGTCGGTTATCTTCAACAAAACATGTTTGAACATTTGCGGCTTCTTTATTTTTTATTTAAGCATAAAAGCCGCTCTATCGGGCGGCATTTAAGCTAGCTCCTGTGGAGGACTCTTGATTGGGCTTTCAGTTTGTTCAGGAGTTTGAGAATTCTAATTCTTTACATATCCTCAGCATTGGAAGCTCTCCTGGTTGCTGTTTGATCTGGGTTTTCATTTGCACAGGACTTTCTTTTCCACGCTGTAGCCTTGGAGCTTTTGATTGCAATCTGGTCCTCTGTTGGCGGAGATTTCTTTTTGCGAGGCATATTGCTGCCGTACGCGATAGGCAACAATAAACTAAAGAAGAACTCAAAATTGATTGCTGCATTAATACTTTTTAAAAGTTCAACGATAATTCTTCTGCCGCCTCTTAATTTAAAGACGATTTGATGTCGTAGGTCCTTATTTTCCGTACAAACAATTATTTTTATTTCATGGGTGACTTTCGCAGTTAATTTCAACTATTCCCAAACTGATTTCCAAGTTACAAAATTATTATCATACAGAAAAATTCGTCGCGAAAATTTACGTAAAAAATCGCCGAAAACAATAGCAGTAATGAAAACTAGGGAACCAAAAATTTCCGTAAAATGAGCTATTGAAAGTAAGAGAGTTGTGTCCTTTTGATTGAAAAGGCGTAACACAGTGACACACTGACATTGTCATTTATTATATAGAAGATGAGCTATTGAGAGTTGTGTCCCTTTGATTGAAAAAGTGTGACACTGTGACACACTGGCATTTATTATATAGATTACTGATATAATCTGCAATTTTAGATCAAATCAACCCACAATAAGATATTATAAAGCTATAGAATAAGGCAAGTATAAAAATTTTCTTTTTTATAAGTTAGTCTTTATTGTAGTAACTAAATGTTTAGCGTCTAGGTTGTTTTTGTTTTTGTTTTTTTTGTACGCGTTCTTTTGAGAGAAGTGTATTTTTAAGAAAGCCAGACGGTTTGTAAAAAATTGTTACACATATAAATCTTTCAGGCTCGGCGGTTAAAAACCGCTAAAATTGTTAAAGATTCGTGGAATTTGCGAAAATGTATTTTTTCATAATTACTAGCTAATGAAGGACGTGGGCTCATGCCCTTTTGAAAAACTGGATAGAGCCTTTTGTGATCCTCTTGTTCTTTTCTTTTTTAATAAAAGAACTACGGTTAGCAGAAAACTCTAGAAGACATTTTTGACATCTAACATAAAGCGTTTGGGCAACACGGTGACTGCATTAAGTTGTCGTGTAAGCATTCAAAAAAGAAGGCAGATAGTTACAAGCCAACTACGGAAAGCCTAAGGAATTTTAAAGTTCACAAGTGAAAATTCTCCTGCGGTTGGATAACAAACAACGAAAAAAGAATTCAAAGAAAATTTCCCCAAAGCCCCAGGGAAGCACGAACAGTGAATATATATATATATATATATATATATATATATATATATATATATATATATATATATATAATAAAAAGGCTTAAACACTAATATTCCATGGTCATAATTTATTCCATTGAAATCGTAAATACGATCCAATTCATCAGACCTACAAATTCAAAGTGTTTAAGCCTTTTTATTATATCTTTACTCTGTCATGGACATTGAGTTTTACCTGGAATTTTTTATTCAAAAAATATACATGTATGTGTATGCACCTATGTATATATATTTATATATTTTGCATATGTATGTGTATATTTACCATATAAAAGACATTTAAAAAATTGTTTTATGTCCCTGAGACGTTCGTAGGATAAGTAAAAGTAGTTTTGTTTTTTGTTTTTTTTATCAAAAAGGTAGTTGCACGTTTGTTTTTCTGCCTTCCTAAATGTGCTTTCTCTTGTAATTTTCGAAATTATAATCCTTTTTTTCATTTTCGATAGTAATCCTTTTTTCTTTTCTTTTTTTTTAAATTTTTTGCAGCCCTCTCAGAAATTGTTATCCTGCCTTAATAGGCACACAAAAGGAAATTTTTATGAAAAATTTATATCTGTACCTTTTTTTGTCTATGCTGTAATAAATGTGTTTTTTTCTTTAAGATTTTAAGCAGCGCTTGAGTCTTGTTCTTAACTTTAGGGGTAGAGAAGCAGGAGTTCTCTTTTCCTATTCTATTCCGACTAACTAGGGGTTTTTTTTTTTTTTTTTTTTTTTTTTTTTTTTTTTTTGTATTTGGTACAAGAATTTAAGATTTGGTAGAAGGTTAAATCTTTATACAAGACAATGGAAACGACTCTTAGTGTCAAGAACAAGCGAAGAGTGAAAGTTTTCGTATAAAACTGTCTCAGTCTGATCAAAGGAAAGTGTAAAACTCTTCAAAATGACAATGAAAGTCGAATAAAATCAGGCAATAATCAAGCCATTAGATGAGGATATCTCTCAGCATCCTCCTCGCCCAAGCGGCTTAGCACTATACGATTTCTATTCAGTCTAGATATTGGAACACATTCTTAATGGTAAATTCTTTAGAGCAGGAGCGTGGAAACTTTTTTCCAAGAGGGACAGTTTTGATGAGGTGAATATGCGTGAAGGGAGGGCCAATCATTCTGCTTGGCATTTTTTGAAATATTAAAATTAAATGCAAATGAACTATCTTATTAAAATAATATTGCACATGGCATATTTTCATTTCTTCACATGGATGACAAATAAATTTAAACAGGTCTTACCAAAATCACCCAGCCTGTCGTATCTGATGCCTATATAAGATGAAGTAAAATATGTCTGAGAAAATAGAACATCCAGGAAGCTATAATATATCTCAGGTTAATCATAAACATTACATACTATTGGTAATTAATATATTCTGTCAACTTTTAAGTTAAAAACGTATGAATAGGAACATAACACCAACATTCATCTTATTAAGAAGTAGAAAATAAAGTGACACAAGTCCAAGTGTCCAAATATATTTATAACTGATTTTGACCAACACAAAACAAATGTAATTCACTAAGATTTTAGAATCTATTCATCTCAGATGACCAAAACAAATAACTTGCCTGCACTAATGTGAATGATGATACTAGGATCTGAACTACAGCATGTAGGCCAGGCCAGGCGTGGTTCAAAGGTAGTGATTTTCGAAATTGGCTGCAAAAGGCCATGGTCAAGGTCAAACAGCCAGAGGGCGGCCACACAGTACTGTTGGCATCTTTTGGTAAAACATGAAATTGCATTTCTTAGATGTATACTTTACATATTCTGGTTGACTATACTGGCGTTCCGTAAATGATACATTCTATGTCATATGAAATTTGACCAGGGGTCGTAATTGGCCCCCGGGGCGGAATTTGGAGATGTCTGCTTGAAAGAAAGGCGCTTGACTACTGTTTACCGGGCACACAGTCTTGGAAGACAACGACTTACCGTATATACTCGCGTATAGGTCGCACAAGTAGATAGGCCGCACCTTTAGTTTCGGTTTGTCTTTATGGCTATTTGCGGTTGACTCGCAGATAGGTTGCACTATAATCTGAGGTGTTACATGGCCTTTTTTTTTAACGTAAGTATAATTAATATTGTTAAATATTTTCTAACATTCACCTTTATTTCAAAATGTTGCTTCTATATGTTAAATATAAGAAAAATGATTGATTGTAATTGCGTGGTATTTACTCATCGAGTGACGTGTATAGACGAAAATTTGGATACTGGTAATCGCTTCAGTCCTAAAAGTCACTTGAAAATGATAGTCTTTTGTCGTAAATCAGATAACAAATGGTAAACATGAGCAGTTCAGATCGAGCTCTTTTATTCGATGTCTGACGCGGTAATGTTTAAAGAGGCGATTGCGGAAAATCGAAATGTCGAGAAAAATTCATTTTCTCCCTTGCTCTCGCTTATGCTAGAATCCAGGGTACTCGCCTGAACTACTAATACGCCACAGTCTATTTCAGATTCCCAATGATATCGAATGGATAGGTTGCACCCTAGATTTTTATCGAAATTTTATTGAAAAATAATGCGACTTATTCTCGAGTATGTACGGTAAATAAAAACAGTTGACTAAATAAATGAAATAGTGCTGATAATTACAGTAGCGAAGAAGAATGAATAGATTCTAAAATCTTAGTGAATTACATTCGAAGAAATCCCAAGAATAACAACTATTGATTTAAATAGGATAACCTCGTCTATTATCGTAGCAAATCCGCCTTCAATAAGCAATTATATTTAGCTAATTACAATTAACAGTAGATAAACTAGTAACAATAGTCCAATTATAGTGATCCGATTGTTAAATGAGGCCTGAGGTGTACTTGTCAAAATACAGTGATGAGACTGCATTACTATTTTAGTCAGTTAAGCTTATTCCATTTAGTCAACTGTTTTATTCAAGTCGTTGCCCACCTCCCTGGGGACAGTAGTCAAAACCAAGCAAGGAAGAGATCAATTCAGCATTGTCAGAATTCTTTGCATTGGGTTGTTCAGAAAATAATGTCACGTTTTCTGAACATGGAATAAAATTCCATTGAAATGCAACAAACGTTAAATGTATTTGTCGAGCATATAATCGTTACTACCAATGAAAAAAGTCTTTTGTGAAACGGTTTTATATCCAACTGAAATAATTCTGGCAATCTATATCCGAAACTCCAATCCCATTAGGTAATGATGAACAATACGGAATACAGTAGATTTTGTCTCTTATGATTTCTTACAATAAAGAATGAGACTTACTGCAAATCATACTTATTATAAAACCCAGGTTGTGTGCGTGTGTGTGTGTGTGTCTGTTCGTTTATATATTGGATCGGATTTCCTACATTTTTCAACCGATTTCAACAAAACTTCACAGGACTACGTAAAATTACCTTTGCGGTGGTTCTGACAGCCTTAAAAATTGGAAAAACACAATTGTTTTTGCACGAAATCAATTTGAAAACACGATTAAGAGGCATAAATGAAAGGGGACAACTCATATCGAGTTATCGAGTTATACTTATTATAAAACCCAGGCTGGTTGTTTGTTTGTTTGTTTGTGTGTGTGTGTGTGTGTGTGTGTGTGTGTGTGTTTATATATGGGATCGGATTTCCTACATTTTTCAACCGATTTCAACAAAACTTCACTTTTTTTTGGCAGGTAGTGTTTTTTATTGTCTTGCACACTTTTTTCTTTATTTTTACATTCAGAATGCTTTAAAAATTCCATTTACAAGAAAATTGTTTATAATAAAATTCTATTCAATTGGTAGACTCATTACGATTGAAAACAATGTTTTTGTTTGAGTTTGACCCATTCGTAAAAAAAAAAAAAAAAAAACAAAAGAAAACAAACAAAAAAAAACTAATTAAAACATGCGTGTCCGTCAACCTTAAACAATAATCTTTGTCAATTTTATTTTTCAGTCTTTATGATGGTCGATATTTGATCTATCTCTTACTGTTACATCCCCGGACAACGCCGGGCTCTACTGCTAGTAAATCATAAATGAACCAATCACATTTAAGTAATTGCGAGAAGGTCGAATGATTATTCAAGGTCATATAATATTCATTTATTCCAAGTTATTCAAGGTCAGTTAATCCTGAAAGATAAAACAGTGATAATAAATTTTTCGCTTTTTTACTAGGCACCCTGTATGAAGCACATTTTTATTGGGAATATGGACAATTTATATCTAAAAACTGCTTCACTTCTCAACGGAATATGTGCCATTTTTCAGAATGCTAATGTTGGTAGATTTATCTCTTTCGATTTCTGAGAATAAAACATGATAATTATAGCAAAACTTTATTGTGAAGAGTGAAAATTTATCCCCGAATTTGCTAACTTGATCAAATAAAAGTGTGACCTTCCTAGAGAATGTCTATGATAGAGATATATGGTCAGTTTTTTTCTTTGCTGATCTCTGAGATGAAAGCTTGACAAGTGAAGTAAATTTTTCTGTGAAGATTGAAAATTTATGCCCCAAATGTGCCAATCTGATCAACAGAAAATACTGGATTCTTCAGAAAAATGTTACAGAAATATGGTCGGTTTTGTTTCTTCTGATAATTTAAAATAAAGCAAAGCAATCATCATCATCATCATTTTCTTTTCTTCTTCAGAGTCTTCTTCAGAGTTTTCTTCGTCTCCTCCTCCTTCTTATTCTTAAGTCTTTTTCTTCTTCAGAGTCTTTTCAATATCTTCTTCTTCGTCTTCAGAGTCTTTTTCTTCTTCAGTCTTCTCTTTCTTTATCCTCTTATTCAGACTCTTTTCAATGTCATCTTCTTCTTCATCTTTAGAGTCTTCTTTTTCTTCTTCTTCTTCTTCTTCTTTCTTCTTCTTCTTCTTCTTCTTCTTCTTTCTTCTTCTTATTCTTTTTCAGAGTGTTCATCAGCGTCTTCTTCAGTCTTTTCAGTATCTTCTTCAATCTTCTTCTTCTTTTTCTTTTTCGTCCTCATCTTCAGAGTCTTTTCAATGTCTTCTTCTTCTTCTTTAGAGTCTTCTTCATCTTTAGAGTCTTCTTCATCTTTAGGGTCTTCTTCTTCTTTAGATTCTTCTCAAGAATTTTCTTCTTCTGAGTCTTATTCTTAAGTCTTTTTCTTCTTCAGTCTTCTCTTTCTTTATCCTCTTCTTCAGACTTTTCAATGTCATCTTCTTCTTCATCTTTAGAGTCTTCTTTTTTCTTCTTCTTCTTCTTCTTCTTCTTTCTTCTTCTTCTTCTTCTTCTTTTTCAGAATGTCCATCAGCGTCTTCTTCAGTCTTTCAGTATCTTCTTCAATCTTCTTCTTCTTCTTCTTTTTCGTCCTCATCTTCAGAGTCTTTTCAATGTCTTCTTCTTCTTCTTTAGAGTCTTCTTCATCTTTAGAGTCTTCTTCATCTTTAGGGTCTTCTTCTTCTTTAGATTCTTCTCAAGAATTTTCTTCTTCTGAGTCTTATTCTTAAGTCTTTTTTTTCTTCTTCAGTCTTCTCTTTCTTTATCCTCTTCTTCAGACTTTTCAATGTCATCTTCTTCTTCATCTTTAGAGTCTTTTTTTCTTCTTTTTCTTCTTCTTCTTCTTCTTCTTCTTTTCGTCCTCATCTTTTTCAGAGTCTTTTCAGTATCTTTTCAATGTCTTCTTCTTTTTTCGTTCTTTAGAGTCTTCTTCATCTTTAGAGTCTTCTTCATCTTTAGAGTCTTCTTTCTTTAGGGTCTTCTT